CGGCATTCCCGAAATTTTGTACTATTTCAGGATAATAATTCAGCAACTCTCCATTGTCGCGCGGTCCAAACAAAGAATCCACGAAAGCGACCATTAATTTGCCGATTTGAATGGGAAGTGTTATTTTATAGCCTGCGTTCGTTTCCCATAAATCGCTTTGAAACCGCGGAATTCGCGCAATCCTCTCCATCCCACTCGTTGGTCCACCATCGCGATTTTCCTACATTATTTTCTGCACGCTAAACCGAAAAAAGGTTTTGTTATGATCCCAGTTATCCGATTTATGCTGCAAAGTTAATCCAAGTTCAGAAATTTTGAAGAATGTAGACCGATAATTTATATAAAATACATCTCTTCTGGTATTAATTAAATATTTATACGATATTAATTTATTTTCCATTGATTTTATATTCTATTATTTTCATATATATTACTGTTCTATATTATTTCTTTATTATATTAATTCTAATCATATAATTATGATATTGAAAATTTGTGAATCGTACGGATTGAGATGGGTATTGATTATTACTGTGCTTTCGGGCCGTAAATCGGCAGCTGAAGGAAATCATGGTGTGAATACGTGACCCCGAGAACAATTGAAAAAGCTACATTAAACATGGCAGGGAATGATTTACCGGGGTTGAAGAGCAATCCTCCCGCGTGTTATCGCTTCTTTTCGCATGCATTTCTCTATCTTCCGCTTTTATAAAATCTATTTCGATATTGAATGGCGAAAGCCTGCGGCGTATGTTTTCTCGTTCAAGTATCAAGCGATCTTTTGCATCTCGTGCAACGTTATCGTTATCGCTCTTCCACGATTCGGTAAATTTCCGAGGCAGATGAAAAAGTGCAGAAAATAGTTTACTGTATTTTTGCAATTTTAAAAATACACAAATTTTGTATGGAATATTATGTGCATATATTCGGTTTTTAATATTTTGCATGTAAAACGTTTGTACATATTTTTTTAATTTTATTTTAAAACTTTTGTGTATATGTGTGTAGGATTTAGGTTTTTCTCGTATAATTTATATTTTATATAATTTTATAAAATTGTATTATTTTAATCACGGTGAATTTACATCTTTTAGTAGAATTTAATAACACAGAAATTACAAAAGACATAATTATACAAAAGCTGAACAAAATTTAATAAATAGTTGGATAAACAAATTCAGCGTATAATACATGTTTAATAAAAATCAACATCTTTATTATATTCGAAATATATAAGTAAATATTGTTCAATGAATTTTAATTAATTCGCGGTATAACTGTTGGTCACTGGTGACGTCGAAAGTCTCCAAGATTAGCACGATTAAATAATGTGACTAGAGATTGAAACGAGATATGGTTTTCCGATTTATTTCGAGACAAATGTCGAGACGACTGACTTCAACAGTCCCAATATATCATACATAAAATTCCAAATCGCGGCAGGTCAAGAACTGAGAGTCGATATAAACATAAGATTTAAACCAGATAAATTTTAATTGATACGCGAGAAACTCGATATAATTATTTAATTTATTAGAAAGAAATTTTTGTTCAAACCATACACAAATATATATATATTTTAAATATATAATATATATTTAATTTTTAATTAGTAATATTATATAATATTGATATTGTAGTATAATATTAAAAATTCGCGATATCCATAATTTAAAAAACCTTATTTTTTACCGGAAGGAAAAAATGCAAAGAAGTTAAGAGAAAGAATGAACATCTAATCTCGCAATATGTTATAGATAATTAAATATTAATTAGAATTTGCTTCCCCGACGCGCGATCGTAACACATTACATCGATATCCTGGAGCTGGGCTTTTAAACCTTATCGCGTGTAAACGATAATTATAGGATCAACGCGGCGTAATCCGGTTATTAATTTAATTACAATCCCGCGCTAATTTCACGCCGCGCTGATCATTACATGGAACATAGATTTAACGAATCAATTCCCACATGTAATTTTGCACAATGTGTGCGCTAATATGACCAAAAACTTGATCCGTCACAAATGCGATTTGATTTGTCCGGTCTCGTAACTTTGTGTGTATCGCAAAGTATCGTGATTATTATTTAATAATCATTACAAATAGCCGTTGAGTCTGTCCCGAATGCCCGCTGCCAGGTCTCATTAAAATTACAATTTCCGGCTTTGAAAGGTTCCCCGGGCGCAAACTTTTGCCACTGCAATTAACTTTAATTGCATCTCACTCGAAAGTTATTATAGACCGGCGATTATGCTATCGGAATTCCGTCTCTAAATTCCGAACAACCTGCTTAAGAATGAATCTTCAATTTCGCAATACCGCAGTATTAAATCTTTATTAATTCTGAATTGAATCGATGGCAATCTGTTGAATTGATTTTAATTTTTACTTTATATTTCGCGAAAACATACAATAAGAGATCCAGCAACTTAAAATATTAGCAACGGAAAAATTCAAAATATCTAGTAAGATGTCAAACATGGATAGAAAAATCGCATAAAAATCAAATAGGTCGAGAAGCATTTTAAAAAATTCTGTCTGTCAAGAGTCTCTCTAGCGGTATGTTAATCAACGAGATATATTCAGGGTTAAAAAGTTGATATAAAGCGACTCGATGA